GGTCTCAGCCAACACTTTGTCTCCATGTATCACCCTATCTGTTGCAGCAATAAAAAGGCCTGGCCCTAAGTTCGGCAGTACCTTGTAACCCTAATGATCTAAGTCTATAGTTTCATCTTTCAAGATTCTAAATCCAATTTTTGATCTTTAAGCGGTCTCGATTTTTTGGCGTATTTTATTCATCATCTCCGAGTTTCCGAGTCTCGGCTAGGTCGGCCCCGGATATCCGGGACGAAGGGCGACCTTGTCGCTTCGAAAGCACTGCGTTTATTTCTCCATCCCCGGGCTCCAAGCGCTTGACGAGCGCAGGCCGAGTCAGCTCGGCCCGCTTTGCCCGACGAGTCGTAACATCCTCCAAGATCGCGAAACCGTTTTGGTGGAACGCCTTCGTTTCAGCTGACGGTGGTGTCTCCAGGCAAACCTGAGCGACAAGCCTGACGAAGGAATCCCCGAGCTGCGCATTGGCTTTGTAGACTCTTCTCGATGCCCTCTTGCATTCGGACTCTCGATCCAGCAGGTCTTCGAGCTGTTGTGCAACTGCAGAAGCCGTGATCGTTCCCGGCGACGGGGGCAACGCGGAAGATATGCAGCCCTGGCGCTAAGACGAGGCGCGAGCGTTCGAGAGTCATCACTTGCGGCCTCGATCATCTCGAACAGCGTCTAGGGCAAGAGCGTGTACCGAGTGCATGCTTCCTGAGCCGCAACCTTCGCTGGTATCCTCTTTCTTGGACCGCGACGGTCCACGCTCCCAACAGACGCGCTTAGAGCGGTCAAAGGCTGCGTTTGACAAGCTGCATGAAGCAAGCTTGCAGAGAGCGGGATCTGTCAGAGAAGAAAGCATACGTGATCCGGCCATGCAAATCGCAGCAGGGCTTGTGTAGCACAGATAACCTCGTTTGGTTCGCCGCGGAATCCGAACTGGAAGTGATAAGTGCACGGCCAGTCTGTAGAATACATGGAGCGGGGCACGGCGGATCTGCGCAACCGCGCTCGAGCTGCGGTCATCTTTCCGAACGTTAAAAGATGTGGATACTGTCAATTGCGTGTGGAGTGTGCTGGTGTTTGTCTACATCTCAGCAATCAGCGCCTGCAGCTGATCCTCCTTCATGATGGCAAACTGTCCGGACGGGCGACCGTCCTTGGCAACTCTAGGTGTGACTGTCGCGAGCTGGACGTTGTTCTGGTCGAGCTTCTCCTCCATCACCTGCTTGAGTACGCGGAGGCACAGGATTTCGGCATCCTTCAACGACATATCCTAGAGAAAGAATCGTTGTCAAGGTCAGTCATTTGCTAGCTCGGGACAATCCGAGACGGCCCTAGTTGCGGCATCGAGGGGGTCTTACCTTGTTGTACTTGTCTTGGAGTTCGGTCTGTGCACCCTCGGAGCCGCTGCCGATCGCCTTTGCGTCATACCTCACAAAGGTACCGGAGGGATCCGCATGGTAGCTGGAGCGAGCAACGAAGCCGGCAGAGAAGACGAAACGGGACAATGGTGAGCTTCTGTGCCTCGGTTCGCACTCTCAACAGTCTGCCCGGGTCTGTACTTACAGTTGTGGGCCCTTCTCGTCGATGCCGGCGATGAGGAGCGCGACGCCGAAAGGTCTTGACATCATGGCTTCGTCGCCCGCCGTCGACTCGCCGAAGCGGAGGGCGAGATCGCAGACGGCCTGCGTGACGGACTCGACCTTGATCTCTTCGTCGTATGTGAAGGCGTGGTTCTGGGATGTGACGCGTGCGTGCTCGATCATGGTCCTGGCGTCGGCGGTGAGACCACTCATGGCGGCGCCGAGATGCTGGTCGACCTCCATGATCTTCTCGATGGATGAAGACTCGAGCAGCTTGGACTGTACACGCTTCTCGACGCCGAGCACGACGCCTTCCTTGGTGGCGATGCCGACGGTGGCGGAGCCTAGCTTGATGGCCTCGAGAGCATACTCGACCTGGAAGAGGCGACCCTCGGGCGAGAAGGTGTTGACACCGCGGTCTACGGGGGAAAGGCCAAGCCAAGTCGAAGCGGAGCGCATGGATCAGGTCAGTACGTGTTCCAAGGCGACGCCGAGGCAGATGCAGCGAGCGACTGGCGTCTCGAACTCACCATACTCGGACCTTGTCAAGAACATGGCAACGGGCGACGGGCTGGCGCTGTGTTGAAGACTGCTGAGCGGGTCAGATGATGCAAGCGAGTGGAGGTTGGGGTCCGTCGGTCTTGGCTGTGGTGGCTGAAGACGCGCAAGTTGCGTAGACGCTGTAGAAAGGAGTCCAGCGATGCGACGAAAAGGGCGATGGCGGACCGAGAACGATGGTGAAAGGCAAGGATGAGCGGAGGTGGTGTGTGCGAAGGATGCACGGATGCGAATCTCGCCGTGTGGAGCTGCGCGAGGCCGAGTCGAGTGTTGCGGTGGCCCCGACACGCGTTTCTAACACTGGCCTAGGCGGAAAATGACGAATTGCGCCTGCTGCAGGCCGCGGCGAAAATGCCCGATCACTCCCTCCACACCGCCTTGCCAGGGTCCAGCCGAGCCCACCTCGAGCCGCATGGCCTTCTGCATGGACTTCATCAAGCGCACATTACTAAGCGCAAACTGACACCTGCTCATAACACACCAGCATTCCGTTCGTGCGTCAAAGCGTTGGCTCACGCAGTTCTCACAAACATGCACCGGGAAAGATATGGATGCGCGGGAGAGAACAAAATTGTCCAGAGAATGCAATGCAAAGAGCGGAAGAGAGGATCCAGAGGGGGGAAGGGGCTGGTGGATGGAGGCGGGTGATCACGCCGGCGGATCAGCGTCCCAAGAGGCGGCAAGCATGGCGACGGCCAATCTGCGCACGATGCATGAAGCTCTACCACTTGCGATCGACGAGCATCCTGCGCGACTCGGTGCTGAGGTAGCTCTGCGAGTCCCAGGACATGTCGACGTCCTTGACGTGGTCTGCGGTAAAGATGATGGGGAGGGCGGTGAAGACGATAAAGAGGAGGCCGAGCGAGCCTGCCAGCAGGCCGATGGCCACCTTTTCGTGCGCGGGCGTGGCGAAGGCCTTGGCACCCTTGGGGCGCGTGCTGTTCTTCTTGTCGCCTGGGTTGGTGGTGTTGGCGACGTCGGCGTTGCGGACCATGAGGCCGTCGTAGAAGAGGCGCTGGAGCGACATGTTGGTCGAGTACATGGCGTAGTCCTGATGCGAGACGTTGGCAATGTAGTCGAGCGTGTGCCTGGGCGGGAACTTGCCGTTGAGGTAGAAGGAGGAGGCGTTCTGGTACTGGAGGACGAACTGGGAGCCTCGGTCCAAGTGGTTGCCTCCCTGCCATCGTGCTTGGCAGTGGGTGTCACCTGCGCCGATGTCGAGCAGAGCGAGTGCATACGAGACTTGGCGGTTGAGGAATCGATCGATGACGTAGGTCTTGTTGGCGATCACATCCTTGCGAGCGTAGGAGGTGAGCTTTGTCTGGTTGCCGTTGAGGCCGTAGGGCCAGGTGTCGTACTCGTTGCCGGCGGCGCAGGAAGCGTTGGAGTAGGGTCGCGCATCGGTGAGCCATGCCCAGGAGCCGGGGTTGCCGATCCAGAAGCGCACGTTGTTGTCGTAGACCTTGGTCTTTTTCATGAGCGCATAGCGCTGCGTTGCCTGACCGCCCATGGAGTGGCCGGCGACGACGACCTGGTTGAGGTTGGGATAGGAGGTCCTGTTGAAGAGATCGTCGATGATCTGATCCACGGCGGCGTAGCTGGTGACTGCATGCTTCATGGGAGGATTTCGGGAAGGAGCGCCGCGCTGCCAGCTGGAACCGTGGAAGACGATTTCGTTGGGACGTGCAGCGCCGGCTTGCAGATCGAGCTGATTGAGCATGGCGGGAGCGACGATGACAAACGAGTCGTTTGTGACGCCCTGCTGATTGAAGTTGGTGACGGCGACGTTTCTCGCATTGAGCATGAGGTTGGCGTACTTCCAGATGTCGCGCGGCTTTCCTGGCCAGACGACGATGGCGCGTAGCACCTTTGTTGGATCTGCGACGGTGGAGATGTAGAAGGGCATGACGCCGGACTCGTTTTTGAATACGTTGTGGACGGAGAAGGTGCGATTGAGGGTGAAGCCGGGCGTGTCTGGAAGCTCCTGCCAGCCGGTCTCATCGGAACCGTTTGTGGCTGCGCTCGGGATGAAGGGTACGTTCTGATTCCACGCGAAGTTTGAGTACCCATCGCCCTGCAAGAGGTTGCCGGTGGTGTCTGTGCCGCCTGCGGCGTTGTTGGCGACGTTGGGAAGGGCGTCAGCAGCCTGTGCGGCGGCGATAGGGTCGACAGCGGATTGATCGCGGATGGAGTCCTGAGTCTCTTGGGACTGTCTTGGAAGGAGGCGGTGGTTGAGCGAGTCGAGCAGGCCGTCGGTGAAGAGGGGCAGATTGTCGTGAAGGGATGGGTCGCGAGCGTGGAGGTCGACGTCGATGCGGTTGAGGCGCGGTTTGGAGCCGGATGCCTGCTGAGCGAGCGCGACGAGGGCGAGCGATGCGAGCGCACCCGCCTTGAGCTTGGCTGTGATGGAAGGCATTGCGTGAAGGCGATCAAGGAAGCGCGACGAGAAGGAGGCGAGGAGGTTGTTGCGATCCAGAGATGGTGTCGAGGATGATGCCAAAACAAGCAGACGGTCGGCGATGAATGATCGCGAATCGAGGCCAAGACGCTGCTGGATGCACGCAACGACGGCAAGGAGGAGGATGAGGATGAGGAGGTGGAGAGGAGGAGGATGCGGAGCGTGCCCAACTGAGACAATCGCAGCAGGAAATGGCAGGACAACGCGAACCAAGTCGAGCTCGTGCCGAATGCTCGTTGCTGCCTGTGCCGTTGCAGGGGCTACTACTGGTCCGGCTCTGGCTCTGGCCGAGGTGCATGTCGAGTTGGCAAGGCGAGCGTGGCCGACATGTGTTGGCGATGCTGCCCCTCCAGGCAGGCACACGCGCTGTCTCCGTTTCGGATCGGAGGCACGCCGTCGAGGAGGCATACAGCCATCATGCAAATCGTCGCATGCCGCCTCTGCAGCCGTCCGGCCTGTCACGCGTGGTGGCGCTGCAGCGAAATTTTTTGGAAAATCCACCAAAAATGCGAAATGTCGCCGTGACAAGTCGCTCAGCCGAGCCCAAGCACGCGGTCGTGGGTTGCCAGCAACGAGCTGCTCGAGGGGTGCAAAAAAGACATTGTTACATCGACTCTGTTGTGACATGGCTCGAATTTCGCAAGGGCTGAAGCGAAAGCTGGGCGGCGTTGAGCGCAGCGCAGCGCGGCGCGCCGTGCAAAGTGGAGGAAATTAGGCTCGCGACGGCTTCCTGCTCAGGAGGGTCACCAGCTCATCGCTCCTTCCCACCAGACCCTCGTCGGGCACAGACACATCCTTCCCTCACCCCACCCTCTGCATCTCGAATCGACATTCATATCGCCACTCATCGCTCCAGCCAGCAGCGCTCCAGGATCCCCACTCTCTGCATGCGCATCTACTGAAACTCATCCTCCACTCGTTCCCTACTCTGTGCCGGTGGCTCGGCGCTTGGCTACCAACAACTTCCTCGCGCACCGATTCACTCCGACTGCCCAGCTAGCCACAATGCCCACATCAGCATCAGCCGTCGAGCCCGCACTTGGCGGTGGCCCAACGAGGACTCTCGGCGTCACCCCTCCCATCGCCACCAACGGTCCCACGCCACGAGAGATCGAAGTCACAAGGACCCTCGTCGCAGAACTAGAGAGGCAGCGCGTATTCGAGAGCGACGAAGAGAGCAAAGTTCGGTGAGTCGTTTCCATCCCCATACAGGCCGTCTCGAATCATACCCACGACGACTTCCCGCTGACATCTTCCCTCCTCCTCACCATCTCCCTTCAGTGAGGTCATCTTGGGCAAACTCGATGCCATGGTCAAAGACTTCGTATACCGCGTCTCAATAGCACACGGCATGTCCGAATCGCTCGCTCGTGCGGCAGGCGGCAAAATCTTCACCTTCGGCTCCTATCGTCTCGGCGTACACGGACCCGGCTCGGATATCGACACGCTCTGCGTCGTGCCCAAGCACGTTCAGCGTGAAGACTTCTTCTCCGTATTCGAGGGCATGCTCAAGGAGCGCGAAGAGGTCACAGAGGTCGCAGGCGTCCCCACCGCACACGTCCCCCTCATCGCTTCGAAATTCATGGGCGTCGATATCGATTTCACCTTTGCTCGCCTGGCATTACCTAGGGTCGAGGACAACCTCTCTCTCGAGGACGACAACCTCCTGCGCAGCCTGGATGAGCGCGACGTACGCAGTCTCGGAGGTTCTCGAGTCACAGATGGCATCCTCCGCCTCGTGCCCAACATCCACGTCTTCCGCATGGCCTTGCGCTGCATCAAGCTCTGGGCACAGCGTCGCGCCATCTACTCCAACGTCATGGGCTTCCTCGGCGGTGTTGCTTGGGCCATGCTCACCGCGCGCATCTGCCAGCTCTATCCGAACGAAGCAGCCGGCGCCATCGTCTCCCGCTTCTTCATCATCTTCTACCAGTGGAAGTGGCCCCAGCCCGTCCTCCTCACCCAGATCGAGGACGGCCCGCTCTCCGTCCGCGTGTGGAACCCAAAGCTCTACCCCTCGGACCGCCTGCATCGCATGCCCATCATCACCCCCGCATATCCCGGCATGTGCGCCACCCACAACGTCTCCCAGTCCACACAGATGGTCATGACCTCCGAATTCAAGCGAGCCGCCGAGGTTGTCGACCGCGTCATCATCGGCAAGACAGACTGGAGCGAGCTTTTCGCAAAGCACGACTTCTTCTTCAAGTACAAGTACTACCTCCAGGTCATTGCCTCCTCTGGCTCCGCCGACCTCCAGCTCAAATGGCACGGCACCGTCGAGTCAAAGATCCGCCAGCTCGTCATGAAGCTCGAGCTGGTGCCCACCATCACGTGTGCGCATCCCTTCATCAAAGGTTTCGACCAAGTCTCCGAATGCCACAACGACAACGAAGTGCGCCTGGTTGCCACGGGCGATATTCCCGACGAGGTGGCGCAGCGCACCCAGAAGGTCGACGCCCTGCCCGAGACCGAGGAAGCCAAGCAGGCAGCCGAAGCAGAGGCAGCCAAGGCCACCGAGGGCAAAGAGGGCCACCGCATGATCTACACCACCACCTTCTACATCGGCCTCAGCATCGAACCTAAGCTTGCTGGCGAGGGCCATCGCAAGCTCGACATCAGCTACCCCACCGCCGAATTCACCAGCAAGGTCAAACAATGGGAGCAGTACGACGAAGCGTCCATGGGTATCGTCGTGCGCCACATCAAGTGGACCCAGTTGCCCGCCTACGTCTTTGAGGGCGGCGAAAATCGCGTCGCCGCCGCTGCCGCCAGCAGAGTCAACGGCAAGCGCGCAAAGTCGGGCAAGAAGAAGAACGGCGCTGCCGACGCGGCTGCAGACGACGCCTCAAACCAGGCCAACGGCGCCTCTCACGCCGCAGAGACTGTCACCGCCGTCGACAACGGAGACGCCGAGATGGCCTCTCCCACCAAGAAGCAGCGCACCGTGCCCGTGCCAGGCTCGCTTGCTGCTGCCGCTGCCGACACGGCGGCTCAGACGTCGACGCCAACCCTACCGCTCCAGCCGGCCACAGCTTCCAAGGAGCTCGAAAACTTCCAGCTGGCAACGGGCAATCAGCCCATTGCAGCTTCCACCAACGCGCCCGCGAATCAGTGAACGGCCTTGAGCCGTCTAGCTCCACGGTCAGATTCGGTGCGAGGCAATCCCTCCCAGATCCTCATCAAGTCCTTGTTCCCCGGTCCGAAAGCAACTTCTTTGTACTTTAAACAAACTCCAGATCTCAAAACATACCTCGCGCAGCTACACTATCTCCAGCCTCGTCATGACAGCCGCGTGAGAAAGTGTCGAAGCAGGGCACTCCGAATGGCCAGGATCGGTACACTCAGTCACTCTCAGGCACGGACGAAGACGCAGGCAGGTTCTGGGAGCGAACAAATGTGTTTTTAGGGGGGGGCGTAAGGCGTCTGGATGCTACGCTGCATGCGAGGACATACCGAGACAGTGGTACTACAAACTACATCCGACCAGCTGGATCAAAGCGCAGCTCGTCGGAGAATGATGAGATGTGGCCCAAGTCACAAATTTTGGGGGGTTGGGTCGGAATCACGCGAACGCGAGACCGAGGATGATACGGATGCATGTTCGAGGCACGGAGATATGCAGAGACAGAAGCCTCAAACGATGCGGGTGCGGGTGCGGGTGCGGAGGATGGTGGGTTGGAAGGGTGGAATGCGAGGATTTAGGCCTTGGTGGCACGGGCGGCGGTGATGCGCTTCTGGGCGAGCTGGCGCTTGTTGAGGCGCACAGTCAGGTCAGACGAGGCAGCCTTGGGGACCTGGGCGGCGGGCTCGGCGAGGAGGATCTCGGCGTGGATGGGGTGGCCCTCGTAAGGGTTGATACGACCGTGAGCACGGTACGTGCGGCGGCGCGTCTTGGGAGCCTGCTGGATGACAATGTTGCGGATGACGAGCTCCTCAGTGTCAAGGCCCTTGGCCTCGGCGTTCGACTCGGCGTTCTTGAGCAGAGCAAGGAGGAACTTGACCGACTTGACGGGCCATCGACCTGTGAGAGTGTAGGGTGCACGAACAGCGAGAGAAGTCAGCGATCATTTCTTTGGAGAATGGTAAATATGGCGGAGGCACTGGAGTCGCGCTGCACAAGGTTCTTCCCATCCATCCTCTCCTTCTGAACTGGGGTCGTTGGCGAACTTCGCCCCCATCTCCACTGACGACTGTCCGCCATCGCTGAACAGTCCCAGACCACTGCGATCAAGGTTCAATCCTCGGTGTAGACTGCGGTCGCAATCCCTGTGTGCTGGTGGTGCGGCCTCCGAATGCCGTACTGCCTTCTCGTCGAATGCTACTTACCCTGGGTGGTCTTGAACTCCTTAGCCTGCTGGGTGCGGCCGACACCGCCGTTGAAGCGGCGGAAGGGGATGCACTGCTTCTTCTCGACGACGTTGCCGAGGTAGGCGTAAGCCTTCTGGAGCTTCAGGCCGTTGACGGCGGCAGCGGTCTCGCGGGTGTTCTTGAAGTGAACACGGAGGTACTCGCCGCGCGACTTGGCGGTCTTCTCCACGAGCTTGGAGTCATCGAAAGCGTATCGGACCTAACGAGGGTCGGAACGAGCGGCAACAGTTGGGAAAGGCGAGATGGTAAGAATGCGAACCTTCGAATGGACGTGTGCTGGAGACGAGAAGCAGGACGAGCTGGCAGGCATGCAGGCAGTAGAAAGTACGCCGCGGTGAAGCCATGTAGGTGTGGCAAGGAACGTGGATGCCCAGCGTCTGTCGATGTAGGTCGGGATGCCAATGGCTGGGTGGACGACTTGGCGCTTGGACAGAAGCTGTGGCGGAACGAGACGCAGTTAGACTGCGTATAAGGGGAAGGAGCGTCGATGCACAGATTTCATGCTGCTGGAATGGTCTGCTGGCGTGAGACGAAGCGTGACATCGATAACCTAATCGCATGAACAAAGTGCACCGTCACGCACAAAGCCGAGTTGGGTCTTTCGTGGGTACGACGACGCAAGCGTTCTCCAGACCAGTCACTGCTGTTTTACGATCCTATGCGTAAGGTCCTCCACAACTGAAATGGCGTGACTGAGCCGAGGCTCATGAGCGTTTCGAATGGCGCTCGAGTTTGTCGAACATGAGCAGGGCATCTCGGTGACGCTTGCATGATTGCCATGCTGGTGAAGCCGGGAGAACGACCCTGATGCGAGTTGGAGGGGTGACGTCTGCCGATGCTGATGCGAATGCCGGTACGATTGGTGCTGATGCTGGTCGCTGCTTATCGGCGGTGGTGCTGGTGTCGACGGTGCGTGCGCTTCTGAACATGCTGTCGCTCGTCCTGCGATGTGTGTCGATATGATACGTACCATCTTGATTAATGTGTGGGGGGTGAGCCTTGAGGATGATGGAAGGATGGCGAGCAAAGGTTGCAACTCAATCTCGATGCCGGTGGTGGCTGCGCGCCCGACAAGCTTCGCTCGACCCTTTGGGGCGCTGCTGACCGCACACTCGCCCCTCTGCGCAAGCCAGCGCAGCCAGAGAGCCGCCCTCAGCCCTGCTTGGCTCCTCTCTCTGTGCCGTCTTCTCGTTGGGCCGCCAAAGACGTTTTCGGAGCCGTGAATTGCGAGGCGCCCGCCTGGCTTGAACCTCGCCCGCTACGAACTTCTGAGTTTTTCTGCTACCGACGTTTCAAGGTCACGTGCACCAATCTCAAAACTGTAAAAATGCGTCGATCCCCTTTGCGAGGCTGATTTTGACCCCGATTCAGTATTTTGCGTCGACTTTTCCGATCCGATCGATGTTGGGCTCGGTCTAACATCGTATTCTTCCCATCACCTCCGCTGAACCGTCCCGGTCCGTGGCGCTATTGAACGCATCTATGCTATCGAGCTACGAGGCAAGCATGCTCGAAGAGCGGGGTACTGAAACCATCAGAAAGTAACATCGCTACGGCTCCGTTGCGTTTGCAGTGGTGTCCTTCGTGTAGTCTTCCGTGGCTTCTGCTCTCGTAGCTACAAGATGAGTGCCATGCCGAGCTCTCCCTGCGTCCAAGGATTCGACGCCGCGGCCCTGCATTGTGACCGTGCAGATCCATGCACTTCTGCTCCCCATGCATATCTTGCCTTTGCGCATCGTTGGATGTCATGCAGGCACCGTCGCCGGCATGCGCCCTTCTTCAAGATGCTGGTGTATGCATGCGTCAATCACGGACGTGTCCGTGCGGTGATGAGCACATTCACCCATGTGGCATTGGAAGGCGCTTCTCCTCACGCATACAAGCCTGCGGTCTGTAAAGCGACGGCCTAGGGCCAACAACGCTGCTTGTCCTCGCCGGACGCTTTCTCAAGCACGGTGAACATCTAATCAGGCGTCGCAAAGGGACTGCGCGATGCTTTCTGGCCACAGACGCGGCATGTAAATGTGGTATACTCTGGTCATTATAGTACTAAGCTGCTCGTGTCATGGTCGGTAGTGATGCGATTGCTGAGGTGCACGTGGGAGTGATGGTGTGGCCAGGTGCGTCTGGCTCTGGTCCCATCCATATCGCTCGTTGGTCGATGCAACGAAGCTCGAGTTCAAGGCAACTCTGCTCTCACCCCAGCCATCGTTGTACGTGTTCAAGGATCGTGACGCGCGCTTGGGTGGAGCCGCGGCTGTAGTCTGAGGCAAGCGCATGGAGCTGGATGACGACGAGGACTTGAGCAGCTCTGCCTTCTCCTTCATCTCGCGCGAGCGCTTCTTTCGTCGCGAATAAGAGCAGACCCAGAAGAGTGCCGAGACGACGGCGACGGATCCGATGATGCAGAAGACGATGACCAAGGACGTCTGCGTGCGCGTGAGACCAGACGTGGCCTTCGACGCTTTGTCGCCGGCACTCTGGCCAAGATTAGAGATCTGATCCGTCACTCCAGAGAAAGCAGCTGGGTTGACCTGACGGCGGTCTTGTCGAACCATCCTGACCATTCGAGGCGCCTGCATATCGATGGATACTGGTGTGAGTGCACAAAGCTGGTTTCGATGTCGCGTGTGTATAGGCCGTTTCGATTGACCGGCAATCTAGGTCTCGAGCTTGGTTCTACAGCTGCGATGGCGTAGGACAAGTGTGCAACGATGTGTCGTTCTGAGCGTGGGAAGCGCTGAGTCGCAACAAAGTCGTTTGAAGAAGATACGAGATAAACGATAGGACGAGTTGGCAGGGTGCGTAGGGAAGGTAGAGAGCTGGACCGGCCAGGGCACGTTTGGGATCTAGACGATGGTGGCAAGAGTCGACGTTGTTTCAAGGTAGCGGGGCAGGCATCATGGCGGCGAGGTTGTCGCCGATGTGGTGGGCGAGCTCACCGCTAGAGAGCGAGGTATGCGCAAAGCTGCTAGTGGGCTCGGCAAGTCGCGAGTTTGGACGAGGTCCAAGCGAGCGTTCGGCGTAGATTACGAGCGTGTCGGGCGCGGCTGAAAAACGGCGCCCACGCCTCACGCCGCCGTTGCCTAGTCGCCGCTGCAAGTCGCGCGAGTCAGGCTCGCTTAGGGTCTCGAGGCGGCCATGGACAGAGCGGTCGCGCGTCTCCGACCCGCCAAACCATCTGTTCATCGCGACTCACCGAGCGAAGGCGCCGTAGAGCCGCACCCCGGCATTGACAGAAGACCATCTCGATTCAAACAAAGCCGGTGAGAGCATGAGGCCCTTCCCACTGTATGCGCGCATGCCAACGGATCTGTGAGGTGGGGATCTGCGTTGCATGCTGGCATGCAAGAGGTGCAGGCTAGCCTGCAGCCATGGAAGCCTGCCAGGCAGCCGCAACGACGCGCATTTCTTTATTTGGCAACGGCCGTCGAAGCGAGCAGGAATGGCTCTGCGCGGCGTCTTGAGCCGCTGCACCGCTGCACAGTGATGCTGGCCATGCAAAGTCCCTGCGCTTTGGCGTGAAAAAAGGTTTAGTCGCCGAGTCCACATCGGGGTTGAATCGAAAAAAAGGAATCGGGCTTGATTCGAGTTACGTCTCCTCTGCATCCCTCCCGAGGAATGTGAGGGCGATCCTTTCGAGCGCAGTCACATCCAATTCTTCGGATGGGCTGCGCATCGACGACATCATGGACAGCCAGCGGCAACAAGACACGGCACTTTGAGCCTGAGGGCGTCTGCTCGTTGCGACAAGGCGGTAACTGTCTTCCGCATCGCAGCTGCGAAGAAATCAAAAATCAAACCCAAATATTGAGGTCACAAAACCTCCTGCCTCAAATGCTTGCGAAGCGGCGCTCTGCTAGAGAAGGTGACCGTCGGTCTCGGTTTGCATACGTCCAAACGGCTTGGGACAAGACAGGCAATATACTGACTTGACCGAGCACCAACACCATTCTCCCTTTACAGCCCGTGATCTTACTAGAACTAGACCGCACGAAACCGCCCCGTGTCACGCCATCTGGCCGAAGAAGTCGAGGAAGAAACACCGTCTGCTGCAAGGTCGCCGATGATCGAAGACAAGGGACGAGACCAAGGTGTTGCGAGTTTCGAGCCAGCTGCGCACGACGAATTTGTCTTGGCCGAGGTCATATGACCTTCGCTCTGCGCCAAATTCGGGTGGTGGTGGAAAAAAAAAA